CCCAGGTTACATCTCAAGGGGGGGGGAGTTAGGATTAGGGGGGACCCTTGAAGATTTAGACCCTCTGGTTTAGGGTTAGGGTTTAGGATTTAGGGTTTAGGGTTCAGGGTTTAGGGTTTAGGGTTGAGGGTTAGGGGGAATTTTTTGGGGATATAGACCTCTCAATAAGGCCCCTTTTAAGAGGGCAAAGAGTAGGGGTTAAGAAGGGTCCCCTTGAACGGGTCTCCCGAATACTACCTTGGAGGGGGCTTGGACGTGCTGGTGTGTTGTTGGGTTAATGTGGGTTTGAGGCTGGCGTTTTGGGTTTTAAGGCTTTAGGTTTTAGGGTTTAGAGTTCATGGCTTCATGGCTTTAAGGCTTTAGGGTGTAGGGCTTCAGGGTTTAGAGATGCGTGCAGACTGGAAATCCCGAATATCTCATGGTAGCGCAGCAGCAATGATCGCAGGAGTTGTGGTCGTAGCAGCTAGCAGGTAGCAGTGAAATCGCAACGCTCGTCGCAAAAGCAACGGATAGCAATATTGTGGTCCGAGTCATGAGCATTTAGTTGGTACGTAAGTCTACCGAAAATCCTGTCATCATCTAGCAGATGCCTGAGCAGCCTTAGCGTTCGCACTGACGGCGAAAACCACCACTACCGCCACCACCACCGCCACCACCAACAGCAACAACAGCCACAGCAACAGCAGCAACAACGACAGCAGCAACAGCAACAACAACCACAACCACAACCACAACCACAACCACAACAACGACGACGACGACGTGACGACGATGACAACAACCACAACAACAACCACAACTTCAACAGCAACAGCAGCAACAACGACGACCACTGCAACCAACAACCACCACCACGACCACCATCGACCACGATTACCACAGCCACGGCCACAACCACGACCACCAGCACCGCCAGCACCACAACCACTACGACGAAGACGACAACGTGCTTTCCAATTCCTGCACCAGGATGTTGGCTGTGTCTTGCTAGGCCCATCGCTCTTCGGCCTTGCCGAAGATGACAATTGGCACGAAAACCTCTAGCAGAAGCCCAGGCTTGCAAAGTTCGCTTCCAGTCTCGAAGAAGGACTTCCCAAGTTGAGCTTCAACGAGTCAGAACGTGCCACCCGCAGATCGTGGCCATACTCAGATGCACTGAGCCACTCACATCCGACAAGGCCTCGGCTAGGTTTCGCGTGCGCAGAGTTCCCTTACCCCAGTGACATCTGACATATACTTCTACAGGCAAAGTCGAGCAGACGGCCAAGGCTTACCTAGAATGCATATAGTGAGTCTCTTGAAAGGTCGGCCAGGGTCGGCAAGGCAGCACGCCTTTTTCGCCGCTGCTTCTCCTCCAGATGAAAGAGAAGTGAGTCTCAGGTCTTGCTGAACTGCAGGAAGATCCTGCGAGACTCCTGACAGGGATTTGGGAGTTTCCGAAATTAGGGTACCTTATTTTGGAGTCCTTACAATAGGGATCCTACTATTTAGGCTACTATATTAGGGTCTCCTATTTTCGGAAACCCCCATTTAGGGCAGCTGCTTTCATGATCCTGGCGGATAGTGCATGAGTTAACACGGGGGTAAACATAGCGGATTTGAAAGCTCCCGGCACTCCAAGCGTCAACCCTAAACCCTAAACCCTAAACCTACATCCCTAAATGCTAAAACCCTACACCCCCTAAAGGCTAAAGCCGTATAGGCCCCTAAGCCTTAATCCCTGTAGATGACAAGCCCTACTTGGAGGACTATGGGACTTAGTCAGTAAGGTTATAAGTCCCCTACTTGGGGTTATAAGTATAGTTACCTTAATTATAACCCTACTTACTAAGTCCCATGATCCTTTAAGTAAGCTTCTCCGGCCTGCAGTCTCTGCTGCGGCTGCGTCAATCGGAGTACCAGGCCGAACTGTGCCAGGTACGCCATCTCGTCGAACTCGTTTCCCTCCGTGACTTGGGCGTAGGGCTTCGGGTTTAGGGTTTCGGGTACTGGGGGGTATATACAGTGTTTGGGGCGATTGCGATTTAGACAGTGTGGGGTTGATGGATTGAAGTTCTGTAGGGTGGCATGAGTTTCGAAAACGTTCGTGCAAATTCCTCGCCCTGTCTGAAGAGCGTCTGACTTTAGGGTTGTATAAGCCCTAAACCCTAAAGTCAGATGCTTCAGTACATCCACTAGCCCCAAACTCGATGCCGCCAGGCAAACTGCGCAACTTCTCCGTCAGCAGCAAAGCAGCACCAGAGGGCCCAGACAAGTTTGGGTTTTGAGGTCCAGGGCTCAGGGTTTAGGTTTGAGAAGGCCCATGATCCCAACTTTCAGCCTTCGTACCCGACGCACCTGCACGAAGATTTTGTAGAAGCGCTCCAGATCTTTCATGCCACCTTTCGAAGAGGTTCTAGGGTTTAGGGTATGAGCCTAAACCCTAAACCCTGAACCCTAAACCCTAAACCCCAAGACCTAAACCCCGAACCCTCAACCCTAAACCCTAAAAGGCATGGCTCAGGAATCATGAGAGTAGCAACAAAAAGAATTATCACGGTTGGAAGAGTATACTTCATAAGAAGGTACTTTGAATACTTGTAAAATAAGAACACGAATGAGAAAACCAACAAGAATAATAATAAAAATACTAATGAGAAGGATAACAAGAAAACGAATAGTACTACTGAGAAGAGTCCTTATATAATCATAGCAACATGACCAAGAAGAAAAATGGTAATGGTAGACATACTGACAAGAACGATCAGAAGAATGGGAATCATGACAAGAGTGCGAATAATCAACCACCAAGAACAAAAATGAGAAGAAGAAGAAGAAGACGCATAGGAATAATACGCATACTGACAGAAATACTAACTATAATGAATTATAACTGTTAATATACATACTAACATGAATACTAGCTATAATAGTTCATAGTGGTAGTCTTCCTTCTTCCTGGCCTCGTAGAGTCAGCTGCCTGGCTGCCAGGTGAGATCGAATCTCAGCGATGCCCGGCCGTCTGGTGGAGAAAGCGCCATCCTCTGTGCCTCTGGTGTGGATATGGTACGGTAGCTGCTTTTTGAGTCATAGTCTAGATCCTCTACTCAGTACAGGTATATGGGGATGACAGGTGTATGACTACATCATACTCTAGATACACAGTACAGATACAAGAAGATCTGCGTATTTTTGCATGTGTACATGTGCACGAACGCACCCAAGTATATCCGAATTATCTGTATGTCCGCGTACATGTAAGCAGACAGGCAGAGAGCTGTATTTCATGCACCTATACATACACATACTACCGTTCTGCCATTCACTCATTTATTCATTCATAAAGTTCATTCCGTCTGTCATTTGTAGGTATCTCTGCACCTGTCGTTTTGTTTATGTATTTGAGATTCACTTGTACTTATATATACGTGCATATATATATATATATACCCGCATACATATACCGCTTTACACCCGTATAGGTGTATGTATATGCCGATACGTATATGTACGTGTATTTATATATATATATATACATGTATGTATACATACAAACCTATCTATATACATATGTGTGACTTGACTTATCTCGTGTATCTTAAGCTCGAACCTATGCCTATGCGAATATATACAAATTCATTATTTTATGTGTGTGTGTGTTTGTCTGCATACGCATACATATACATATATATACATGTAAGTGTGCGTATATGTCTGCATAATCTCCTATACATGTATGTGTATATGTATATATATATATATTTGTGTGCAAATACACCTATATATATACACACATATATATGTATATATATATATGCATTAAGATGTTTATAAAGAACACACACACACACAGAGAGCTGCCAGATGCTGATGCTCTCGGTGTTGATGCTAGGCCCCCAACCGTGACCTGTACACAGCAGCTCGTATTTCTGGCGCCAGCTGTCAAAGCCGCAGTTGGCATAGTGGAGCACCACCTGACAACCGGGAACACCCTGCTTCATCGGCTTAGGGTTTGGGGTTTAGGGTTTAGGGTTTTGGGGTGAACCTCAATGCAATCCAATGCTCAGCCGCGAGCTGGCGCTCCGGGCCCTTTGCAAAGCAAGGTGTACAGCGTCATGCCTGGCCAAAGGAGCCAGGTCACGGCAAATCCGTCTGGAGACTCTTCAAGGACCTCTCTACTTAGTTCACTTCCGAAGCTTCCCCAGAGTGCCCCTAAACCCTAAACCCCTAAATCCCCAGAGTGCCAAGGCTGCAGGCCGGAATCTGAACTCTGGTGCCAAAGCCTAGTTGACAGAAGGACCTGGGTTCTGGAGGGATCCAAGCCAGTACTTGGAGGACCATGGGACTTAGTAAGTAAGGTTATAAGTCCCCTAATTGGGGTTATAAGTATAGTTACCTTAGTTATCAGTTATAACCCTACTTACTAAGTCCCATGATCCTTTAAGTACCCCAAGACACAACTCGGTCGTAGCCCCAGCTGCACCTCCGTCGCGCAAGAAGCCATGAACTCCTCACGTCTCGTCAGGGGGGCTTGGATTGAGTGCTTATAGGGTTTAGTATAGGATATGGGGTTCAGGGTTGGGCGTTTCGTGCTTAGGGTTGCAAGGTTCGGGGTCTGGGATTCTAGGGTTTGGCATTCGGGGTTTTATTTAGGGTTCTAGGGTTTGGCCTTTGGAGTTTAGGGTTTAGGGCTAATATAGGGGCCTAAAGAATTACCTATACTATTTTGGAGGTTCCCTAATATAATTAGAGTATAACGGCCCCAAAACCCTACATTACTTGCCCCTAAACCCTGATCCCCAAACTCCCCAACCCTAAACCCCAGAGCACATCTCTCCCAAAACGCTGCATCTGGAAAGCTAATGTCCTCAACCCTACTTTTTTTGAGGGTTTGAGTGGGTGAGATGCGAAGGCTGTCCATAAGGAGAGTGCAGGCTTTTTGTGGCGAGGCTTCGGATTTATTGACACCTTTGTTCAAGGACACTGAAGTAGTGTAGAACAAACTAACTCAGATTTCACGAGTCCAAATTAGACTACATGTCGGCGTCAAGCCCGGCAGTCTTCCACCAAAATTGAAGCCATACCCTAACCCCCCAGATACCTACTATATAGGGTACTAGAGCCCCTAGGGCCATTTATAGTAGGTACCTGGAGGGTTAGGGTAAACCCTAAACCCTATATGGGTAGTTCTCTAAATTAGGGTCCGTTTCGGGGTTCCCAATATAGTACGGCACCCTTATAAAAAGGACCCTAAAAGGGACCCTAGTTTAGAGAACTACTCTAAATCCCCTTCTGCGGCCAGGTTGCTGGCATCCTCCCCGAGACTCCATCGGGATGGGTCTGGGCGGATGCGCTGCACGGCTACTCGGTGCCCGACCTCTCGGCAGGTGCCCTGGACCGTAAAGGGCTTCGTAGAGCCTGGCGACATTGAGTTTCAGATCTGCAGCGTAATACAGTTTACCAGATCCAGAGTCAGTTTAATAGGTTCCAAGGACGTATAAGGTGTCGGGTTTAGAGGGGAACGGTTTAACTAGGGTGTCCTGAAGGCCTCCGCACAACAAATGTGGGTGTTGCGGGTAGTCTAGTTCTTTGCAGGCACATCCGTCCAAATGCATGTATACTCGGGTGAGCCCGTCCCCCAAGACGTGGGGATTGAACTGAGAAACCCGAGCAGCTGAATGCACCCTGAACGGCCCCTTATAAGCCCTAATTCGCCTAAACTTTAAAAAAAACCCTCAAGTGCCGTAGATCCTAATACACGGGCCTTAATAATTAGACTAGGGCTTGGGGGGGTATATTATACTATAACTAAAGAAGGAACCGGCAAAACCCTATTCTAAGTCTTAAGGCCCCTACATTCCTTCCACATCCCAGGCGTGCTTCGGACATCCACGGATCCGGTGGTGCTAACTCTGGTCGAGCGCTCCTCCCTTCTGGAACGAGATGCTGAGAAACTTAGTAGCTGAGTGAGTACACTTCACCCTAACCCTCCAGGTACCTACTATATAGGGTACTGGTGCCCCCAGGGCCCTTTATAGTAGGTACCTGGAGGGTTAGGGTTACACTTTTGGGGATAATAGGATCCCTTATAGAACTGAAAATGTACACCTTTAGGGGCTTATGAACTCAGCAACTAAGGAAAGAGGCGATTCTGGTGGAGCGGCTTTGAGCGCAGCCGACGGCCGCAGGCAGACGTTTGCGGCTATTTGGGGCTGATAAGGGTTAAGGTGGAGCACGTCTCAACCTGAATGCTAAGATTCTTCAGGGTTTATCAGGGCTTCTGGAAACTTACTGTTTGCAATCGGCAACTTGTGTTCGGAGTGCCCTTGACACCGACGCGCCCACAAAATCACAGCCCCATTGCTCCACCGAGAAATAGGCTCCTCGATTACAAGCCTCACCGAGGAAGCCGAGGAAAATATTACTTAGAATGAAATCATGGGTCCGCCGCGAAGCCCCTAAACCCTATACACCTTGAGCTCTGAACCTCCAAACCCTAAAAAGAAATATGGGGTTTCCAAAGCGGGTCTCTCTCAAAACCGGAAGCGCCACAATCCTCCTCGCAGGCCCCTAAACCCTAAACCCTACACCCTAACTATTCTTGTCCAGAGCAATCTTGGCCCCTTACACTGAGCCCAATGCGGTAGCCGAAGATCTCTTCCTTGATCCTCCTAGAACCTAAGCCCCGTTACATATAATATACATATATATATATAATATACATATATATATATATAATATACATATACATACCCGTAAACCCTAGCCCCTAAACCAGTGCACCTCCGAAAAGGGGAGTGTCCTATCTGCACAGAAAAGGGGCGCAATGCACTTTAAACAAAAACCCTAAACCCTAAACCCTATACATATACATATATAGATGCTGCAGAAAGTTTAAGCAGTAAAGGCCAGACACCCCTAGTGGTGACCCTTAGACAAAAACCGATTCGAAACCTGCGAGCTCCAGAAAAAACAGTTTAGGGTTTAGGGTTTAGGATTTAGGGTTTAGGGTTAAGGGTTTAGGGACCCGAAGTCCACCGATCCTTGCAAGGCTTGGGTTGCTCCGAAGACCGGATCTCTGGAAGAAGTACTGACTGGATGGAGCATTAAGGTTTAGGGTTTAGGGGTGTTTAGAGATTTTTGGCAGGTTTAGGGTTTAGGGGTGTTTAGGGTTTAGGGTCTCTCTTGGGGCTGTACCAAGAAGTGCTTTCTGCAGCTGGAGAATCTCCGTGCAGCAGAAAGGTCTCGGCGTGTACAGAGCCGCACATCTACAGGAATCTACAGCCTCCATTATGCCATTGCGGTTCTTTTTGTGTGGTTTAACTGTTTAACCGACTGACATAGGGGCCTTAATAATTCGAATAGAGTTTGGGGGGGGGGGTATATCATACTATAGTTATAATAAGGAATGCCCAAAACCCTATTCTAATCCTTAATGCCCCGATCCCATACGGTACCACATATTTAAATACTAGGATCCTATAATAACCGCTCAACCAACTAAATATTTAGTAGTTAGGATCCATAAATGTAACCTTCTTTTGTCGAGCATGCCAAAGTGCGTGTCTCCTGCAGCCTTCGACGTGGGAGTCGCAACATGAGGGGTCCCTGAAAATTTGAGGCATCCTTGCAGTCAGTGTAGGGGCCTTAATGATCTTAATAGGGTTTTGGGGTCTATTGTACTATAATATTAATAAGGAGCCCCGGAAATAGTATAGGGAATCATTTAGGCCCTATGTTACGGGTCGGACGACTTAAGGTATCTTCTAATTACGGGGGAGTCTCTGATGGAGTTCTGAAGTGGAGCTCAGTTGTTTCGGTGTGGCGGGTGGAGTTTGGATGGATGGTCGCGGGTCTCGACATCTTGCTGTACGTTCGCGAAATCGACCAGTCCTATTTGGAAGCCTCTAAAGCTGCTCCTGTGTTGACGAACACACATCCCCAGAGTGCAGCATCCATATGGTATCAGTGGGACCGTCTAAAGCAGGCCGTCGTCCGTCATTTGCACGCCTGGTGCGCTGATGCAGCTGCTGACCATGTAGAGGCACACGCACGGTCGGGCTTATGGGGTTGGTTCTAGGATGCAAGCTTATTCACCGTCAGTAGACTAGACTTGTCATGAGTCGCACTCCTACAGATGAAACCTACAGGTAAGACCCGAAGTGCCTCATCTTAAAGTGGATTCAGTACCCTCCAGCTCTGGGGAGTAATGATGCTTCAGCTTGGCAGCTTTCGACGTGGTTGCAAGGTGAAGGTGGTTGCAGGCAGAAGTGCCCTCGCTTCAGAGACGATGGTCTTGTGGCGTGAAAGTTCGCCAAACGCCTCAGCTCGTGTGAAGCCTTTCCGGAACCGGCCGACCCCTTTACCCCAAGCGTTTAGGGTTTAGAGTTTAGGGTTTCGTGAACATCTAGGCTCAAATCTCAACTTGAACTAGTAAAGTAGTATCTCGCCAAAACCCGATGGCGCCGCCTTCCCCAATCTCGGCCAGCTTGCTTGCTTTGTAAGCGTGTTCTATCAGCTGCTGCAGGGCCAGGGGATCGGAGCTGAAGCTACATGTTCAGCACTTGCAAAAGAGCAGCTTCCAAAGCTTCAGCAATGAAACCATGACCTCAAACCCTGTAAGGTATTAATCCAGAATCCCGTCTGGTTATTACAAGGCCTCACCATACGAAAGAGGGGGTCCTTAATCAGAAGCCCGCAGCACCACGGCCGCGCTGAGGCCGCCCTCACCTTTAACGAGACCTTGCAGCCACAGGCAGGTGGGTTGCAGTGCGGGCTCCAGGGCTTGATAACGCGCCGTGAAGAGGATAGAGCATCATAACAAGGATGACCCCGCACTCACGGTAATCCCACGGGCGCTTCGGAGGGAAACTTTCCCACGGTCCCACGGTCATTGAAACACCTAGTCCGAAAACCTACGCGTTTAGGATTTAGGGTCTCCCCTGGTGCTGGCCGGCACGTCAGTCCGTGCTTAAAAAGGGCCAAACACCGGTGCGACGGGTCCTCAAACAAGGTGCCTGAAGGTCTTATCATGCGTCAGCTTTTGTAGACATGCACTTAAGAGTCTTAGGCTGAAACCCTGCACTGGCAGTTTTGGGGTGTTCAAGGGGTCGTGGGGG